AACTGACAGAATCTCAGAGTTAGCATGCCTGGACAACCCGCTGGCCTTTTCACAGAACATTACATTTTACAGTTACATTTTAGTCATTTAGCAGACGCTCTTAACCATAGCGACTTACAGTCAGTGCATTCATGTTGTAGTCAACGTTAGCCTGTTGACATGAACTGATGGAGCTTATCCAAACGTCATGTTCTTAAATTGATAGTTTATTAAATGTTTTTTACACTCATATAGACAGATAGAGCAGTGGTTGTCAATTTTCCATTGCAGACTCTAAACCCAAATCTCATTTTCTTTAATACATCTTACATCTGGGTCTCCATGTTCTCTTGTGGCTCTTGTCCTCCACACAAATGATCTAATTTCAGCACAAATATGTCAGCAGATAATTGTACTGGTTACAATTCTTTTCACAGTGCTGTACAATCTGACTGCTCATTTTTGCTTATATGTGTTATGATTTTATAACACTCTTGTTCCATCTGTTTAATTTATGAATACATTCAGTGGATGATAGAGTGTAAAACTACTTGAAGTCAGTGAAAAGTTTGTGTTGTATTGTAATGCTAAATAGAAAAACAATGAGTTGTTAGTTTAATAAGTAGGCACATTAATAATCATGACACACAATGTTTTGGAGCTGGAGGTTTTGGAGAGATCAATGTTAATGTTGGCCTACACACAGTTTGCCCTTTATAATGAGTTTGATTGAGAACTCATTCTGTTTTACAACAATGACGACCTGTAGAATGTTGCAGTGGGAAGATGAGGATTCTATGACCCAGTTTAAAACTGCAGGCAGGGTGATTTGATGGCAATCAAAAACAGTATCAGACCGCCAGGTTGGACATTTGGCCAGAACACCTAGTCCTCTATCCAATTGGTTTTAGTATTTTCTTTTTTGTTTATTGTGGTGCTGCTTTACAATCTGTAAAGGAGAGTGTTTTTTACTATCAGTTTGTAATGTAAACTTCGGTTCCTCAGGCCCAGGCGGCACTTTGCTGCCAAATTTAGTGGGTTCGGATTTAATAGTGTTCGTTTCAGCACTATGGACAGTGCCCGTAAACCAGATGGGCCCCAGCTGGACTAGGAACTTGTAAAAAGCACTAGGCGTAAGTACACTGAACAAAAATATAAACGCAACATGCAACAATTTCAAAGATTTTACTGAGTTACAGTTTATATAAGGAAATCAGTCAATTGAAATGAATTTATTAGGCCCTAATCTATGGATTTCACATGACTGGGAATAAATATATGCATCTGTTGGTCACAAATACCTTTAAAAAAGGTAGGGGCGTGTATCAGAAAACCAGTCAGTATCTGGTGTGACCACCATTTGCCTCATGCAGTGCAACACATCTAATTCGCATACAGTCAGTATCTGGTGTGACCACCATTTGCCTCATGCAGACTGTTGATTGCGGCCTGTGGAATGTTGTCCCACTCCTCTTCAATGGCTGCGCAAAGTTGCTGGATATTGGCGGGAACTGGAACACACTGTCGTACACGTTGATCCAGAGCATCCCAAACATGCTCAATGGGTGATATGTCTGGTAAGTATGCAGGCCATGGAAGAACAGCGACATTTTCAGCTTCCAGGAATTGTGTACAGATCCTTACGACATGGTGCTGAAACATGAGGTGATGGCGGCAGATGAATGGCACGACAATGGGCCTCAGGATATCATCACGGTATCTCTGTGCATTCAAATTTCCATCTATAAAATGCAATTGTGTTCGTTGTCCTTAGCTTATGCCTGCCCATACCATAACCCCACTGTCACCATGGCGCACTCTGTTCACAACGTTGACATCAGCAAACCGATCACCCACACAACGCCATACACGCTGCTATCTGCCAGTTGAAACCGGGATTCATCCGAGAAGAGCACACTTCTCCAGCGGGCCAGTGGCCATCGAAGGTGAGCATTTGCCCACTATAGTCAGTTACAACGGCGAACTACAGTGAGGTCAAGACCCAGGTGAGGACGACGAACACGCAGATGAGCTTCCCTGACACAGGTTGTGCAGAAATGATTTGGTTGCGCAAACCCACAGTTTCATCAGCTGTCCAAGTGGCTCATCTCAGACCATCCCGCAGGTGAAGAAGCTGGATGTGGAGGTCCTGGGCTGGCGTGGTTACACGTGGTCTGCGGTTGTGAGGCCGGTTGAACGTACTGCCAAATTCTCTAAAACGATGTTGGAGGTGGCTTATTGTAGAGAAATTAACATTCAGTTATCTGGTAACAGCTCTGGTGAACATTCCTGCATTCAGCATTCCAATTGCCCCCTCCCTCAAAACTTGAGACATCTGTGGCATTGTGTTGTGTGACAAAACTGTACATTTTATAGTGGCCTTTTATTGTCCCCAGCACAAGGTGCAGCTGTGTAATGATCATGCTGTTTAATCAGCTTCTTGATATGCCACACCTGTCAGATAGATGGATTATCTTGGCAAAGGATAAATACTCACTAACAGGGATGTAAACAAATTTGTGCACAAAATTTGAGAGAAATAAGATTTTTGTGCATATGGAACATTTCTGAGATCTTTTATTTCACTTTACATGTTGCGTTTATAATTTTGTTCAGTATAAATGGAAGAGGAAATACACAAAAAGGCCTAACATAAATATCTTATGGATAATATTTGATTACCTAAACAGATCTGCTGAGATAAACAGTTTTTCTTGTCATGTGACCATGGAAATGCTTGCATATTTTCAATGCATTATTATGATTATTATTTATTTATTTTAAACAATGACCTTATACTTGTTTGTTTCTTTCCTATTTCCGTAGGCTAGTTTGATCGTTTTCGCTAAACTTGTTTTATTTTTCGGCTCATTTATTATTGAGTGAGAATCTTCTGTGTACATGTGAGGCGCACGTGGGTCCAGCGCTCCATGTGCTGCAGCATGTGGAGTGGACAGAGAGCACCGGCCCCTAGAGAGTTCGACCCAGGGTGACTCTCGGCGGGTGTCCGGTCGGGCCAGACAGCTCTCACAATACACACGAGGCTTTACCCTCTCACATCCTCGCGTTCATATCTCTGTGACTAATGTTTTAATCTGGCTGTGATTAAACTCTAATCTAGTTATGGCATCATTTTATTGGTGGCATCAAGTAACGCCTGGCTAAACTTCATGAAAGACCCCAGTGATGGGGTGGCCAGTGAAGCTATGTGCATCATTACAACATCGTAAGCCAAGATCCTAGTATCCGTTTAGGTGATAGGCCTAGACTTGTTTGAGAAAGCTTTGAATAAACGATGCATAGGCGCATGTTACAAGAGAGAGACATTTGAGAGAAGACACACCCCATTGCAGTGGCAGACTACTAATGTCAGTCCTCGTCCATACAAATTTAGATTTCCCGGGATACTCTGACTAGCACGTGGCCGCAACGTCACTTGGAAATCAGCACCTCGGACAGCGGCTTCTGCCAATGCGCAGCAAAACGGTGGAGCTTTTTTCCTTTACGGATAGACGAAGGAAGGAATAATCATATGACAATGAGGGGACAACAACAATATAGATAAACACATCAGTGTTTCAATTCGGCTAGCATGCATTTCCATGGCAGGATCCTCCAGTTCTCCGATTTCGATAGAGGCACGTCTGCTGTCAGAAGCAAGTATTTCATCGGTACCATGTAAATGAGCGTTTTATTGTTATTGATTGAACTGATGTAATTAGTTATTGGTAGTAAACGACCCCGTTATTTGGTGGCAAAGTTGAACTGGCATAGCGATGTAACGTTAATCGTTTTGCTTCGTTCTCCTATTCTGGGGTATTCTTCCCTGGCATCTTCGTTCTTCCTGGTTTGTGTTGTGCAGGAATCATTGCAGAAAGAAGAAAAAAGCAGCATGGAAATTCAATGGCAAAGTGATGTGCGTTTTTCTACAGATTTTTGGTGTCTCGTCTGATCCTGTTTAAAATGCTCACAAGTTGGATAGTAAAGTGTCTCTCGGACTTGTGTGGAGGGGGAACAGTGTGGACGTAGCCTATTCTCTACCTATCAGCCAGAAAAAACACGTTAAGGAAATAGGGGAAGAGAAAAACACGGTGATCTGATGGCTAACATGCCATTGAGGGACAAACAAGAGAGATGATTGCCATCTCGTTTTAATTTCAACTGGCCTTTTTTGTATGGACTAAATAGCTGAAAGCAACACCCAAAAATGACTCGGTGGAATTACTCATGCCATAGCATTAATCAAATGTTATATTATCCCTGAGCCTCCAAAGCTCCCCCGATCCCCTCTCTCTATCTTGCTCCCCTCTCGTCTTGCGATAGAATACCACATCGCTCAGAACCTTGTTAAAGGTTCCCGTTAAATACAGCTCCCGTTATATTCAAGCGTTGGCATTGTCCTATGAGTGACTGGGTCAAAAATGAACCCGAGGGGATTCAGTTTGATCCTATTGTTGTTTGGATTTGCTAATCGCTCACACTGGAAGCTATCGTGATGGTTTTGTGTTGGCATCCATTGACTCCCGAAAGAAACATTCTCTGCCCATCCATGAAAAAACTTCCGCATAGGCTACACATGGTAACAGAGAAAATGTATCAAGGAGTGATACAATCTATTTACATTGTAACATTTTGATTTCTATTGACCAAGATTTGTGCTCGGCAGCCATGCTTTTTATAGACACCTCTGATATTTTGTTTTGATACCATAGCCCATAGCTAGAGAAGGCTACCTGAACCAAATAGGCTCGCACTTGGTAATAATAATAATAATAATATAATACTAACAAAGCCCCTTTTGGCTCTCAAATCGTTCAAACTAAATGCCTGAATCATCCAACTCCCTTTATTGATAACTTATATTCACCCTACTGCTGCATTTTTCCTATGTGGGCAAGTTCATGATGTTTAAGTACCGGATCCGTATGTTTTTCAATGAACTGAAAGTGCTGGTTTTCATGCGGTCTGGCTCAAGACGGGGGACCGATTCAGACACAGACCCAGACAGACGAACAAACAGCATGCGAGGGCTTGGGGTAGGAGGCTGCGGGTGGCCACCCTTCGACTGCTCTACTCGGGACGATGAGGAGGAGTACTATGGCACCGATCCCCGGCCCCAAAGCCTGGCATTCGAGGAGAAGGATCCGAAGCTCCAAGCAGGCCTGGACGCTGTTTCAATCACAAGCAGCTTGGACAGTGGCATGCGCTCGCCGCAGTGCCGGATCTGCTTCCAGGGCCCTGAACAGGTAGGCTCCCCTGTCCTGAACCGTAGCCCTGCACTTCACCTATCTATCCAAGTCTAGGCTACCCTCCCCCTGCCCCTTGTGATTACCCATTGTTTCCAGGGCTATTTCTATAAGTCCCTTCAAGACTTATAAGTTGGTTCTTCGCATGTATTCAGGTCTATACATAAGCACACACTGCAGGGAAGCTCAGGTATCCCTCTACTAGGCTATGGAAAGCAAGCATGTCTTTTATCAGGTCAAAGATCAAATTGTTAAGATCAAGCCGACCTTTGTCTCCAAAGACCACATAAAAGACCATGCAGACTGTTACATTTTCCAGGAATCCAATAACTAAAGCGGATACAAAGCTTTTAACTTAAACTTTGTTGACATGTTTCTGCATCATCACGTTCCAGCTGCAGCCAAAACGGACATTGATACAGGTTCCTTCCATTGAGGAGCATAAACATGATTTTGGTTAAATTCAAACTTTGCCATTGTGACCGTATTAGGGTGCCAAAAGTCTAATTTCAGAAAGCAACTCATAAAACATCAAATATGGAAATGTCTCCAATTGGTAAAACATTGTTGTATTGTTATCCTATACATTGGTCCATACACATATTGTTCCATACATACATCTTGTTCCAATTTATTTTTTCCATACATACATCTTGTTCCAATGTATTTTTCCATACACATGTCGTAAAAAATTTATAAATAAAGGAAGGAAGGCACTGCTGCCGAAACGTTGGTTGCATTAAATGTTTGGGAGCATAATTAGAGTGTGCAACTTTCCTTCTTTATTTGTATAGTTTACTCTCTGTTAGTCAGCACCTCTATAAAATGTGGGGGTGTGCGTCAGTTTATGCCTTTTACTAGACCATACACATCTTGTCCCATACATGTTGTTCCATACATTGTTCCATACATAAATATTGTTCCATACATTGTTCCCATGTAGATCTTTTCAGGGTAAAACAGGCAGTGGTTGCACCACCAATAACCAGATACAAATGAATACAGTAGGGACATGCCAAGTACGACACACATAAGAAACTAGGACAAAAACAATTGCTTTAATATTTCTAGCTCAGAATGTTAAAGAAGGAACGATAGATAGACTGTAGGCATAAGTGTACAAACATAGATTTTTGACATATTCTGCATATATATAGATGGATAATACTAGCTAAGTCAACCGGATATCTCCGAGGCCTGTTTGAGTGCTTGTGTGTCATGTTGCAGACAAAATGATTTGAACAGAAGTGCTTTCGATATGAATCTGATTGTTGTGGTTTGATTCACTGTCAGTCTGAACCTGACACTACTGTATGACACCTAAGGTCCTGAAAGGTTTTCATCCATCGCAAACCTTTTCAGGATTTCATCACAGGCAAAAAGCAAAACACAAATAATGGGAAGAGGTGTAACAACATGTGAGGGAGCAATAATGACATACAGTAGATTTAACACAGTAGGACATACCTAGTCAGTTGCACAACTGAATGCATTCAACCTGAAATGTGTCTTCCGCATTTAACCCAACCCCTCTGGATCAGAGAGGTGCAGGGGGCTGCCTTAATCAACATCATAGGCACCTGGGGAGCAGTTGTTGTTGGGGGTTAACTGCCTTGTCCAAGGGCAGAATGGCTGATTTTTCCACCTTGGGGATTCAAACCAGCAACCTTTCGGTTACTGGCACAACACTCTTAACCACTAGGCTACCAGTAGATAAAGTGAAATACAGTTGTAAAGTGCATCATGCGTAATGCATTTAATGACCTTTGCCCATTTATAATGACATCCAATCACAATTAATCAACAAATATTCTTGTCTGCGCAAAATATTTGAAACATTGTTAAGAAATACTGTACGTATAGAAACAAGTCCAATTCAATCTATTAGTGATGGTAGAAAATGGCTGTTACTCTACCAAATCAACTTCCTGTATACTTGAGTAAATTAAAATCAGTTTTGTTTGAATTGGACTATTTGTTTGTCAAATAATAAAAAAGGTCCAAGCTAAGTCTATGCCTTGGGCTGTAGTTTTATAGATAGGAACAGTCTCTGTTGCAGCAACATGTCCTGTGATATAGGGATCCACTGAGGGAATCAAATGAGACAGGACCCTTGAACACTTTTAATTAGGCTTGGTGGTATCCTTTGAAAGGAGGCACGTGGGTCCATTAATAGAGTGGAGATGACAACATTGCATGGAGTTGATTTATAGGAGTGTCGTGATGGGGACTTACTGTGCAGGAAAATGAGAGATGAAGAGAGGACTGTGGAGTCTGCAAGACAAAAAACATGTAGATAGGGATATAATGCCCTAACCTTATCACAAATCTACAGTCAAGTGTATTATTCCACCTCTGTACTGGGGAATGACATTCCTTCCAAACCTCTAACTGTACATGTATATTAAACGGGTCACATTTTCTCATTTAGTCTCAAGACTGCAGATAAAGAAGAGCTTAGGAAGTGGGTTTCGAATGGGAGGTCGAGGAGTCTTTTATCCTAGATGAGAATTCATTTTCAAAGTGTAGCAAGTATGGTTCTAAGAATATCCTTGAAACGGTTGGCTATAGCGCTATGTTATTTGCATGAGGTAGTGGTGGTGGTGCACGTGTATGGACACAGGCTCTGCTGGTTAGAAAGTGCTGATGTGTAAGGCATTGGACTGCAGGCAGATTCTGACATTCAACCAACATCACTGGAGAGACATGCTCATGGAACCTAGAGTGCCCACAGTGGATTGTCTAGATGGACAACTCCCACATGCAATCCCAGGTTTTTAGCTGAAACACACCATAAAGACTGTATTCCACTCCATTACATTTTTGATAGATTCAACTTGAGTCAGTTAAATCGTATTATTTTCTCTACCTGTGTATTTGTTGTCTAAATAGAAACTATACAGAAAGTGGTCATTACCATATGGGTGAAAGAATCTGATCACCTTGTGCATGAATTCATATACGCCGTTTTTTCACACTAGTCTAGTCAGAGAGGAATGTTGTAAATCATGTCTGAAACCAGAGACAATAACGACCTTTTCTATCACCGTCTGTAATTGTGCACATGTCAACATATGTGTATATGCGGTTGTGTGTGTGCATGCATGCATGCGTGAGAGTGTGTGTATGTGTATATGTGTGTGTGTGTGTCTCATTATATGGTACATCCTAAATTATATGGACCAAGCAGAGAGCAAGATCATAAAGGAGCGATGATAAGAGATGGAGAAAGAGAGTGGGGGAGGGGAAAGAGACAAAGGAGAGCAAGGAATAGAGAGAGGGGGAAGCGAGATGGACAGTAAGGTAGTAAGTGTAGTATGGTGGGTAAAGAACAATAGAGTGGGAAATAGGTGATTAAAATAAAATTCATATTTTAGGCATTCTGTTATCTCTTAAAACCACATGGTTAATTGAGAACATTCCTTTTTTACATTTACCTTTCTAGCTTTTGAGCTTTCATCATGATGATTATATGTAAGCTATTCACAAAAAGGCTACTCTTTCTATTTGATATTGGTACAGTATGACATTTTCAATTTTCATACATCAGCCCTTTCTATAGCCAGGTTATATTCAACTTGATAAACACTTGAATGCCAGTTGTGTTTTCAATTCAGTCAATTTAGAAGGTAAACTGGAATTCCAATTCCATTTCCAAATGTTTCAAATTGAATGCCATTGAGGAAAATATACATTTCAGTCAATTGGGGTCAATTGAAATGGAATTGATCCCAACCCTAGTTATGTTCAGCCTTTTACCCAAATGTAGTGAGAGATAACCATTGGCCTTGAATCCTCTTCAGGAAAAAGCAGAGGATTTTGAAGTGCACAACATTAATCCCATACAGTACAATAGCACTACGACTATATCACTCTTCTATCACAGTTTCTCTAGTAGTATTTTCTCTTCCGTCTCCTCATCGATTCTTCAGGTTAAGTTTCTCAACAGGTGATGGCCCGGCCTCCGTGGCGTTTGCCATTTATCTTCGACAAACACAATTAGCCACCTCGTCAGGAGGTATCAAATATTCATGATCATTAGCAGGCCGTCTTTCAGGGGCTCTGTGATGGGGGTGACTCCCCGTTGACACTGTCAACCTGAGATGGAGAGATGGACATGCTGTGTCACTGTGTGTCAACCAGACCTGGGCCAGTATCCACAAAGCGTCTCAGAGTAGAACATTGGTCGTAAGTGCTGAGAATAGAGACATTTTACTCCTACTCTTATGGGTAGAAATAAAAGCTATTCATGAAGTCTCTTTAGTCATAAGAGTCACACCTAGTCGACAGATATTTAGGAGACCTCATGAGCTGTCCTAACCAGTTAAGAGTTACCAGCAGGTGTCTTGATAGTAAAAAAAAATGCAGCACATGCAATTGAATTGGAGTTGTTCAAATAATGTTTTGATATTTCTATATGAAAACCATAAATAATCTAGACCTATATGCAACAGTATCTCTTGCGCTTTGACAATGATTTCACACGAGGCCTATTTCACATGATGTGCCAGAAATGTACTTATAACCACTACCCACTGGGCACAGAAGTCAGTTCAACATCTAGTTTTGTAGTTGTCAACTAATGTGAAATCAACAAAAAATGTCACCTTGCCATTGGATTTAGGTTAAACGTTGGGGAAAAAAATAAGAATTTACCCTACATTAATGACTTTAGTCAAATTCAGTCAATTTTCCAGGTTGATTCAACATCATAACATTATATTGTTTTGTTGAAATGACATGGAAACAATGTTGATTCAAGCAGTTTTTGCCCAGTGGGTAGGCTATAATAAACACGTTTTTTTCCGATGATTTAATTACCTACCTTCCAGTCGTTTTTCCGCCATTCATTTTTCCTATAGGGGACTTTAGAAACACTTAAGATAAGGGCTGTGTTTCGTGTAGGCTTACCCTGGCGTGACGTTTTGATAACTGTGTAAATCTCTCTCAAACAAGGTGAATTTTATTTACTCTCAGATTCAAAAATGTTAATTAGCATCAAAGTAGAAATCATGCAAAACTAAAAATCCCTGCAAGGCAAGCTCCTGCACGTCATC